CCAAGGTGACAGCCACTCCTTTGTTTGTTCACTTGCGTGGAGAAGTAATGCAATCTTGACGGCTGGGAGATCCGATGGTAGTATTGTTGATTATGACATTAGAAAAGATGATCGGGCCATCTGTGACTATAGAGGGCATCGACTAGAAGTTTGTAGTCTTAAATGGTCCGAATTGTTTGGGCGGTATCTGGCTAGCGGAGGGAAGGACAAACTTGTGCACATATGGGACACCCGCATGGCTGTTGCAAATCACCATCCGCGCCAACATCAATTGCTTCACAAGATCAGCAACCACACTTCCACTGTGAGGGCCCTTGATTGGTGCCCTACCAGGAGCAATCTGCTGGCTTCTGGTGGAGGACGCAATGATCATTGCATTAAGTTTTGGAGTGCTGTTAATGGTGTTTGCTTGAACTCGATTGATACCGGCTCTGAAGTTTGTGCGTTGTTGTGGGACAAGAACAATTCTGAATTGCTGACCTCCTATGGGTTTCCAAACAATCAACTCATCTTGTGGAATTACACATCCATGACGAGAAAAGCTGAGCTTTTTGGTCATTCATCTCGTGTTCTTTACTTGGCTGGGAGCCCATTGGGAGGTGTAGTAGCTTCTGCAGCAGAAGATGAGACACTCAAGTTCTGGAATATCTTTGAGACTCCCAAACCACCAAAACCTGAAGCAAACACTGTGCCCTTTGCCCAATTTAGTGTCATAAGATGAAAATGCTGATGGTTGGAAAAGACTAGGAGAGTAATACGGAAAACTTCTTTAGTGCTTGACAAGAAGATCCATTGTTGATAGCGTTGCATAGAGCAGTTTGTGACATCAAAGAGGCAATATATTTTAATACAAGCATCATACATTTAAGATCTTCAGATACGGGTGCAAGCGCCTAAGTTAAGTAAGAAATTTACAACCATGCTTTAATTTTTACAGCATTTTAATAGGTTTATTATACAACAAACAAATGTGGTTGCAGCTGCAAGTTTGATTTTTGTATCCAATTTTTCTTTCAGCTTTGCATATATCTTGGTATAACTTTTACCATATTGAGAATCTTCATGTTGATCTTATTCTTGGTTTGTTTATGCTAATTATGCATAATTAGACCAATGAGGTAGCTGTTTATATATATTTTTTCTTTCTACTGAGTTGAGATTTCTTATTATTTTAATGTAGCCTCCAGAATTTCAGACTTTTCTTGCTGTTGAAAAAACTGGTTATAAAGTGTATAATTTTGAATCTTAAATGGTTTCAATATGTTACTATATAGTGAATAACCTCCAAGTAAGATATAAGTTCAAGAGTGAAATCCAAGCTTAAAATATTTTAATTTTAATAGGATGTGTCATAATTTCTGTAGAATGCAGTCATCAGACCTATAAGAATTGCAAACCAAATTGAATATTTAATAGTAAAAATATATCAAACAAATAATATAATGAGTTTGTTAAAGATGAGGCATTATTATTCTGTTTATTATGTTTTTTTTCTGTGATATAAATAGAGGCTCATGGCTTTCATTAATAGACTGTCTTCTGCTGGTCTCAAGATTGAACCTGACAAATGGAGTCAAATAGGATATTACGCAAGTTCTAAATTGTGGAATTTAGCTTACTATACCAACAGTTAACAAATGCTTGATTATAGTGATAGTGTCGTTCTGGTCCTTCTGGATTATAGTAATAAAAAGATCTTTGTTAAGTCTGAAGGTTCTAATTTGTGATTATTTCGGTCTGCAGGATTTTTCTTGCTGATTAGTTATTGCATTGTAGCAGACTAGTAGCAATCTTCATGAGATTGTTAGAGAAGCTTGCTAAGTTTCATACAAATGCTCACCAACTAATGACATGGCTACTGTTTCAGTATTTTGAATTATGCTGTTGCAGTCATCTTTCACGAGTTTCAGCATCCACGTGCTGTAGTTTGAATCTGCTACTTGTGAGTATAAAACTGACATCTGAATTGGTATTTCTTCATGCCACCTTCCCTGTTTATTTAAGGAGAATAAGCTTTCAGTAGCTGTTGTGATTATTGATTTTAATTCCTAATATCATATATGTAAAAGGTTTAAATTGACATGATAATTCCAGTTGAAACATTTAAGTGATTGTTTTTTTGAGTCATTTAATTGACTTGCTTATTTTGGCCCAATTGTGTGGCTTTGACCATTCTAGTTAGTTTGGCTTGAAGATTTTCAACCTAACAAAGCTAATCTCAGATCTGAAATCAAAAGTGGCATTAGGTCCAGTATTTCCTGTTTGATTGAGCTCAAATTAGAGCATTAGTAAACTCCATAGTTCTTCCTATCTGTCATGTCCATCCTTGTCTAGCTTTATTAATTAGGAATTTTGCTACATAGTTTACTTAATGCTAACCAGATTCAGTTTTTCTTTCATATCAAATTTTGTGTTGTTCATGAGTTGATATGCAACATGATGTGTACTTCTTTTTGTCAACTTGGTAATCATATCAGTGCAGGCCTCATTTGTTTTTAGTTTTGTACAATAGATTTGCCTAACATCTTTTGATTACAATCACCGTGATGATTAAGTATCACAAATCAAGCATTTGTTAACTGTTTTAGATTTGTGATGCTTTAGATTTTCCTAACATCGCAGATAATTTCACCTGCAACAACTTTCTTATAGACTGCCATTTGTGATGCTTTAGTCATATGTTGAGGCTTATCTTTCTTTTATTTTATGATCAAGGCACATTTTTTATTTGTTCATTCAGGGACAAAGAGACCCGGAGCATTGATGCTTCACTTACTTGCTGAAGCTATTATATTAGCCCTTTTTTGTTGAAGCTATTATATTAGCCCTTTACTAGAGAAAATACCTCTAGTGGTTTCTCAAATTTGATTATTGAAAAGTCTAGTTTATTACTTGCTCTTCTGGCTTACCACTTAACATTCTGTAACCTTTCTTGTGAATTATTTACAATTACTATACAGGAATTGTGACTTCTGTCAGTCTTTCTGTTAAGAAAGAAAAAAGAGACATTATCTC